TACAAATCCTAAATTCTTATAGTCCGACTTAGCATATTTTGTTCATCACTTTTCTCCCCCACCGGGATATTATCACGCCAGATGTTTGTAATAGAATGTAGAGGTAATTGTGCAGAAAGAGGACTAGACAGGTCCAGATCACCTGGGCGCTGTCTGCTCCTACAGCTGACTTTGGGCCTTAGAGGCAACATGGTATAAGCAGTGGTATGGTGAATTGGAATTCAGGAAGACTCGTGTTAAAATCCCACCTCTCACACTTGTCTGCCATGTGACTGGGAAAATGACCTTACCTCCCTGAGCTTCAGTTTGCTGTTGTTGTTGAGTTGTTTCATTTGTGTCTGACTCTCCCATCACTCCATTTGGTGGGTTTTTTTTGTTGTTTGTGTTTTGGCAAAGATCCTGGAGTGGTTTGCCATTTCCTTCTCCAGCTCATTTTACAGATGAGGAATTGAGGCAAAGTGGGTTAAGTGACTTGCCCAGGGTCACACAGCTAGTAAGTATCTGAGGCCAGTTTGAACTCAAGTCTTCCTGACTCCAGGGCCAGGGCCTTGTCCACTGCACCACATAGCTTCCTTACCTGCAAAATGGGGCTAATATTACCAGTAGTGCCCACATCACAATTGTGAGGCTTACATGAAACAATGTATATAAGACTCATTGCAAGAGTGGCATGCTGATATCAGGTATTACCAATGTTGTTATTAACACAAGGAGGTTGAATTACATGGCTTATTTCCCTTCAGCTCTAATGTTCTCTGATACTGAGTGTAATGAGATCTGATGGTGTAAAGCAGGATTAAGGGAGTTCTGTGACCTGACATGTGTTGTGCCTAAGGTGAGCTCCCCTTTGGCCTTAGCACATTGATACATTACCCATACCTGGTGTTATGGAACTTAGATGTGAGACTTGGCTTTCTTGTGAAAAGGGGGGTCAGTGTACAAGAGTGAATCCAACCAAATTGAAGAGTCCCCCAAAGGATATACAGGGTCATAGATTTAGAGCTGGAAGGGATCTCCGAGGCTTTCTAGGCCCACCAACTGAAGTAACAATCGAGGAAACTGAGGCTCACAAAGATGAAGGGACTCCATCACATAGCCAGTAAGTGTCAGAGGGACGATTTGAATCCAAGTCTTTCTGACTTCAGTTCAGCACTCCATCCAGTATACCACATGGACTGAAGAGAAGGCAGTATGGCTGAGGACAGCAAAATGATCCCACAAAAGGAATTAGCTCATTTCAACTGCATAAGGTATAATTACTGTCATTAAAGCTGAAATCATAGCTTTAGCCAGAGAGACCCAACTCAACTTTTAAATTGTTTGTTTGTCCTGATGTGTGTCTCCCCAAGAGCCTGTGGGGTGGGTTTGTGGGAATTGAGGGTTTTGTGGGTGGGATGAAGTATTCTCAGATTTTTGAGGCCCTGGGATCAAGTCTCTCCATGATAAGAAGGATCATTCCCTCCCCTAAAGAGATGTTCCTAAGTAGGAAACCCCCTTCCTGAGGGAGAAGAGCAAGTTTGGGAAGGGGGAAACTGTCCACAAAGTCAAAACCAAAAATAAAAGGAAAGATTTAGTGTTGTATAGAAGAAAGAATAGCAAACTGAGAGTCTATAAATTTGGGTCTTAATCATATAACTACCTTATAGGACCTTGGGCAAATCATTTCATTTCTCTGGGCCCCAGTTTGTCCATGTGTAAAATTACTAGATGGCCTCCAAGGTCCCTCCCAGTTGTAAAATACACATGATAAAAGAAAATGAAACTGAGCTTTACGGGTGGGGTGTACACAGAACCATTCATTAGGATGAGGAACTCCTCACATGCTACAGCTGCCCCCACGTCCCACCCCCACTTGCCCATGCTCTTCGATTTCAGTTGATTGGCTTAATTTAGCTGACTTTAAGAGAAATTATCTGTTCTCCTCTGTTCTCTATCCTACCTAGCTTCTCAGGCCCTGAGTTCCTCTGGCCACCAGGCCACTCTTACCTTTCTTAGAGTTTTCCTTGATATTTGTCTCTTTCTGTTTGGGGGTCTTTCCCTTATTAGCAGGAGTTAGTGTTAATGGCAGATTAACAGAGACAACAGTTGAGAGAGATACCCACCCCCTATCTCACCTTTTTTTAAATTAAATTTTAGTTTTTTCAGTTAATGTCTATTTTCTCTCCCTATCCCATCCTCATCATTAAAAGAAAAATCCTTGGAACAAATATGCCTAGTCAAGCAAAACAAAATTCCACCTTGCCTTAGTCCAAAAACTGTATGTTTCATTCTGTACCCTAAATCTATCACCTTTCTCTCAGGAGACTGCTTCACCATCAGTCTTCTGGAATCATTGTTGGTTATTTATTTGATCAGAGTTCATTTGACTTTGTTGTTATGTTTGTTTTTACAGTGTTGTATTATATAAATTGATCTCTTGGTTCTGCTCATTTCACAGCAAGCCTTCCCAGGTTTCTCCAAAACCATCCTCATCATTGTTCTTTATGGCCCAATAGTATTTTGTTACATTCAAATATCATAATTTGTTCAGCTCTTCATCCCCAGATAGGCACTCTCATAGTTTCCTATTCTTTGCAGCCCCTCATTGTAGCAGGCATTTATTCAGCAGCTCCCAATGCAAGGCATTGGGAATACAAAGACAAAACAAACATGACAATCTCTGTTGTCAGGGAGCTTACATTTGATTGTAGAAGACAACATGTATCAGTCATTCATCAAGTATTAAACATGTGTGAGTATGTTCAGAATAAATAAGAAAGAAATTCAGGGTAGTTATTGAGGGAGGAGAGCAGTTGGGGAGATCCAGAAAGTATCATTTAGATTAGAAGATAGTGTTTGGATTGCATCTTGAAAGAACAGAGGGATTCATTGAGGCAGAGGGAAGGAGCTAGTAGGTGTGGGGCATGTCTGGGGCAAATGTACAGAGTTGGGTGATGGACAGCTGTGTATCAGGAAGGAGTTCATCCTGCTTAGATTCTAGTGTTTGAGATGTAGAGTAATAGTATAATGAAACAGAGCAGAACAGTAGGGCCAAATTGTCAAGGACTTTAAAAGCCAAAGAGAATATGGTCACATATGGGTCTCAACAGTGATTTTGGCCCCCCTGTGGAGGATGACTTGGAGAGGGAATTGCCTGAAAGCAGGGAGACCAGCTGGGAAGCTTTTTCAATGATGCGGGTGAGAGAGGATGTAGACCTGAACTAAAAATGATGCCTGTGTGAGTGTAGAGAAGGGACCTGACATGAGATGTTATGCAAGTAGAAACAGAAATTGTTTGTGAAGTGAATGAGAGTGAACGGTCGAATGTAATGCTGAAGTTTTGAACCTAGGAGACTGGAAGAATAGTGCTCCAGACAGACAGGAGAGTTGGGTAGAGGGGAAGACAGCCTAGGGAAATGATGGTGAGTGTTGTGTTAGACATGTTTGTTCTAACGTGAGGGGAAGGCTGATTGGGTTTTGTTGACCTGGGAAACTTAGGAAAGTCCATAATGAGCATAATTAGACTGCTGTCATCAAATTGTCTCCACGATAGACTTGACACTGGGATCCTTCTGATGTCAGGACAATTAAAGAAGGCCTCCAGCTTTCTAGCTGGACCCCCATGGCAAACTTAAGACACAGACATTCTCACCAGATGGGCTGACATGCATGGGTTGTGACTGGCATACACATCAGTGAATCACAGATCCATTTGAATTGAGTATTTGGTGGTAATTAGAGTGGGTGCTGAGTTTGTTGTTGCTGTTTTAAGATTTATGAACACAGTACTCTGCCAGATTAGCAAGAGGTAGGCAACAGCATGGGATCGACATGCTCTTCACAAGTCCTTCTGTCTTTGTGATGTTTCCACATGTCTCTACGTGTGTGGGGTTTACACGGTCCCATTTATGGATTAAGCCAATCCTTATCATCTATTTTCCCTCCCCAGTGTTTTGGGACAGTTAGAGAAATGAACTTTCACTGCCCTGTGGATGAAGGTCTAAGGAGTGAGAAATCCTCCAAAGACAAGCCTCTGCCTGCTCTCAGAAGCCCAAGCTGGGAAGCTAAGCAGCTTCCCACAGCTCTGGTCATTTGTGGGCTTTTCTAGTTCATACCCTCCTCTTTTTTGTGTAAAGTGGACGGCCCCCTCCCTAATTGCAGCTCTTGAATGGTCTAATCACAGCCTGGGCTAATTTGTTAATAGCTTTGGGAACTAAGAAAATGTGCCTTGGGCTATCTCATAAGCCATAGATATGCAGCTGTATATGTTCCATGGGAAAATTATATTTTTGTGGAAAAATGAAGACAGGGATATTTGGAACTGTGTGTCACCCTTATACCCTGTTTGTGGGCATATTGTCCCATAGAATGAAAGCTCCTAGAGGTGATTCTTGTATCTCCCGCACCTAGCACAGTGCCAGACATATAGTTAGTTGGTGCTTAATAAATTCCTGTTGAATGAATGAATGAATGAATGAATGAATGAATGAATGAATGTCTGTACATTGTGTACACATACAGGTACACAGGGCACGTCTAAGCATAAATAAGGTCTTTGACATAGCACCTACCTTTCGTCAGTAGCTCTCAGTATACTCTGTATGATTTAGGAGAACAAAATACGTATAAGTCTGAATGTCATTCACAGTCCCAAAGCCCCGGACCCTTTGTAGACCTACTCCTGTGAAATGTATCTCCCTAGTGGAATGTCAGCTCCTGGAGGGTATAAACTGTCTCACTTTTGTATTTGTATTTCTAGTGCCTAGCATAGTATCTGGTGGTGTATAAGTAGGCACCAAATAACTGCTTGTTTATTATTTAATTGATTGATTCATCAGGACAGAAACTTTTCTTCTAGGTGACTATATCTGTTCTGGCTAAGCCTACATGTTTTTCTATACAAATAAATGCTCCTTCAGTGGAAATAGTATTTTTGGAGGGAAATCTGTGGCCCAGCTGGTAGGTTCAGCCCTTGGTCTCTGTTACTTCATTCTCCTCTGATTCACTGTCTTGTTCCCTAGGGAAGTCACATCTGGCCATTGTGCAGAAGGTGAACAATGAGGGTGAGGGCGACCCTTTTTATGAAGTCTTGGGATTGGTGACTCTGGAAGATGTCATTGAGGAGATCATCAAATCAGAAATCCTGGATGAGTCTGATACGTACAGTAAGGCTCACTGTTTCCCTTTTCACTGCCTCATAGTAGATCTTCAAAAGTTCTTCTCCCCCACCCTTCTGCGTTTTTTAGAGTCTGTTAGTCCTGACTAAGCGCATGGCAACAAGGGTACCATCCTTCCAAGAAGGCTTGGAGGCCCTGCCAACAGCTTGATGTTCAACTAGCAGAAGGCATTATTATGTGTTTCCTCCTATTTTCATCTGTCAGCCACAGCCTTGGGACTATGAATTGACCTAGAGTTCATTATGCTTGGGTTAAGAGGCTCAAAATATGGGAGAAACAAAATTCCTTTCTATGTGGGGCAATTCAGGGTGACAAGACCATCAGGTCAAACTGAACCCTAACCCCTTCTCTTGCAGTTGACAACCGGAGCCGAAAACGAGTAGGCAATCAAAGGAACAAGCGAGATTTCTCAGCTTTCAAGGATCCTGACAATGAGATGAGAGTGAAAGTCTCCCCCCAGCTGCTTCTGGCTGCTCACCGATTCCTGGCCACAGGTAAACCCATGAGGAAGGCATGGTGGGGTAGGGTCGGTCGGTGGGGTACTCATTGGTGAAATAGAATGTATAATTTTCTAGGAGATCAGAGATGGTGATTTTAAAAAACCCAAACATTTAGCCTCTTGCCTCTATGGAGTAACACAATGGGATAAAGAGTGTGTGAAGGGTTGAGGACAGTATATCTGCCCCTGGAGAGGATAAAACTTGATTTTCCCCTGGGATTGCAGGTTGTCTGCATTGTAAACCAGTATCTATTCCACACTCCCAGCAAAAATCTAGAGTTAGGGGCTAAAGATCATAAGAGACCATAATGAAAATGGTGCTTGTACCAGATCACTGGGGAGGAGATAAAGTTGGCATCAGGCAGGGGATGGTCTGTGTCGGTCCTTTGGTGACACATCGCTTTGGGTAGCCCTATACAAGGACACGCAAAAGGGAAGAGGAGGCGTTTATAACCCTAGTGTCTGTGCATATAAGATACATGTTCTCACACTCATGTAACAAGAGTCATATTTGCAATACTTTTGCCACCTGTGACCGGGCCCATGGTCCTCACTTAAATTTTGGAAGGGTTCCTCTTCGTTTTGCTTCCCTTATCACTTCCTCCATCTTATAGTTCCTTGAGAAAAGAGATGACAAAATAGACATTCCTGGGTTCTCACCCTTATCTCAGAGAGGCCCTGAAGGCCCGTGGCATATCTTTCTTCCCTCTTGCTCCTGTTCCTCACACATCCCTCTTCCTAATTCCATTCCCTCTGCCTCCAAACTGATTCCCTCATCATTCCTTCTACAGTAGTTTTTCTGTCAGAATCCTTTGAGGTCAGGAATATATGGTATTTCCCCTTATTAGTTATGGGAGACAGGTACTTAGGGATCTGGAGCTTTCTCTGATAGGGATCTAAACCAATAGTGAGACCAGTTTCAGTATAGGAACTTTAAGTGCCCTTCTTTCCAAATGCAGACACAAAGAAACTGTTAACCAGATGCCTCATTCTGAAGGTTACTTTAAACAACTGCCAGGGGCAGGGGGAGCCACACCCCTATGGCAACATTATCTTATTTCTTCCATAGAGTTGCCCCTATTCAGTTCCTCAATGATGTCTGAGAAGATCCTCCTTCGTCTGCTAAAGTACCCAGATGTCATTCAAGAGCTGAAGTTTGATGAACGCCATAAACTTAGTGCCCGGCATTACCTATATGTTCAAAACAAATCTGCTGACTACTTCATCCTCATATTACAGGTAAGCTCCACCTTTCATTTCCTAGGCAGCTTCATGATACCTGGTCCCATTCCTTCCTGCCTTCTCTCTGGGCTTTACCACCGGACCTGATCTCCTTTTACCCTGCTTCTCTTCCTTCCCAGCCTCAGACTGCATACTGATCTCCTATCATGATGATGTCTTGTGTGCATAGGAAACTCAGAACTCTGCCTTTCCACTTCTTCAGCTTTGTCATCCTGATCACAGAAGACTTCAAGGCACAATACTAAAGAGGTCCCTCTTTGTCCCACTGTCTCTTATCCTTAAGAGAGAGCTACCTATTCCCAATCCTTGTCCCTTTAAAGTTCTAAAAATAGTTTTCTTCATCTCAGCTAGATGGAACCAAATCACCCCACCTTCTTTCTGCCTTTCCTCTTTTTCTGGTCTTGTTTTCCTCTTTCCTTTATTTGTAGCCCTCATACCCATGTCCTTTCAGGGAAAGGTGGAAGTGGAAGCTGGGAAGGAGAACATGAAGTTTGAGACAGGTGCATTCTCCTACTATGGGACCATGGCACTTACTACTCCTCTTAACATAGGTGAGTTGGTATGTTGTAGTTGACACTCAACTTGGGTCTAACATGGGATTGTCAAAGCTAAGCGACCACAAGTTTTTATGTGTATGCAGAAAAAGTATGAGAGTTGGGCTCTGCCCTCGAGGAGTTTTCATTCTAGTAGTCTCAGAGACAAAAACAACACATGAAACAATAGCATAGAATACATGGTGGCATATGATGAAATTCTAAGCTGAATGTATAAACCATAAATAGTAATTGGAATTCAGAGGAAAAGGAAGACTATTGAAGTCAAGAATAGGCAAGGAAACTTTCATGAAGTGGGTGGGACTCTGGATAATAAGCATGACAGTCACAACTGGGAAGGTTGGATAGGCAGAGAGGGGCCAAAATGTGATGGGGAGGCCAGGAAATAGGGTTTAGATTAGACGTGATGTGCTAGAAGGAATTAGGGAGCCACTGATGGTTTTTTGAACAGAAAAAGTGACATAAGAAAGGCATTGTTTAAGGAAGATTGATTTAACATCAATATGCAAGAAGAATGAGGGGGTAGGAGAGGCTCAACAAATCAGGAAGGTGGTCTTTTGGAACAACACAGATGTAAGCAGATGAAGGCTTAGTGAGTGTTGATGGGACTGTGATTGGGACTGAGAGGGAGGAAGCTAAGGGGCCTCCACAGTTTCAAGCCTCGGTGTCTAGGAAAGTGGTGATGACAGAGACAGGAGAATTGGGAGCAGAAGTTTGTTAAGGGGGTTCAGGGTGGACAAGAAGATGAGTAAGTTCCAATTTCCAGTAGGCCTGGGTATTTCCTTTGGCTAAGATTTTATTCTAATGGTATAAAGAAACTCAAGAGAAGAGATCAGGCAGATTCATAGTAGAAAACAAAGCTAAGGATTTAGAAAGGCTTAGTGACAGAACATAGATGCATTGAGTCAAGGATTAAGGAATAAAGAAGAAACTAGACATTTGAGAAAAGAAGTTGAATATCTAGGTAATATTGTGGCAGGTTAAACTTGGAAGCATGAACAAGTCATCGGGCTTCCTTTCTATCATCCACGTGCTAGTTCTGTGGTCTGTACTATCCTAGTCTAGGAGAGCCTATGGAAAGAGCTGGCTATGGGATCATCTACTTAACTCAAGTACCTTTGGACAAACCACTTAACTCTTCTAGGTCTTAGTTTTCTTACCTGAAAATTGAGGGAGTTGGACTGATGATCTCTGAGGTTAACATGAAGCCTCACTATCTGGTTCCTTTGAGAACATGGAATGTTTAACTTTTTGAGGGGTGGAGGGTTAGGGTGCTGTTGAACCCATTTCTATGGTTTGACACATAAAAGTACCCTCTACTGGTGGCAACTGCACACTGCAGTGTTTTCAGGACTATTTTTTGTCAATCAACAGGCATTTATTAAATGCCTATGTATGTGATGGGTCACTGTGCTGAGGGAGGAGGGACAGAGACAAAAATTAAGCAGCCTTTGCTCTCAAGGAATTTACACGTTATATGACTGAGTTCTTTCTGCTTCCTTTTTTTGGGGACAAACCTCCTTTTGGAGACCTTCCTTTAGTCACACACCTTTTCTCTCCTGTTGCTTGTGTGCCCTGAGCGAAGGCTGCTGGGGCTATCAGAGTGACGTCGTCTGTGCCAGTTCACGACAATTTCTATGTCCCTCTATCCGCCCGATTGGTGCAAAAAGGTGTGCAGGCCTTCCATTTCCTCCTGTACCCATCCCTTGAGGGAAGACGAAGAGGAAAGTCAATGGAGACTGAGTACTTCCATCTCTTGCTGAGCCTTCAGAGGGAAGAGGAGTAGTGAAATAGGGCCTTCCATCTGACCATCTGCCTTTTGTGTTGTGTTCCATTTGTCTCCAGCTCCATCTACAGCCTCTTCTGAAAAGAGGAGTGCCATTTTCCACTCAATGATAAACATTCTTATACCTGCTCATACCCTGCTAATTTCAGCTATTCTGAACCCCTATAGATCATCATCCAAACCCCACCCCCACCCCTCATCCAGCACCCACTTCCTTATTCCCATCCTTCTCAACCCTCAAAGGTCCAACCAAATGCCATCCTTCCACTGTGCCTTCTCTAATGCCTATTCCATAGGCAACAAATTTCCCTTCATCCTAAATGTTTTCATGTCTCACTCTTTTCATCATCTAGCTGTTACTGAAACCTGGCTCCTCCCTGATTTCACAGTGTCCCTGGCCATCCCAGGGACACTCTTTCCCCTTGACCCACTGGTTGAGGCTGAGAATTGGATTACTCCTTGCTTCCTATTGCCACTTCCAGGTTTTCTCCCTGCTTCTGTCACTCAGTAACTCCTCTTCCTTTGAGGTCCATGCGTTTCATATCTACCACCCAGTTAAAATCCTGGTAGTTGTTGTCTGTAGACAACAGGTCACTCCCTTTCCTTCCTTTTTGAGTTTGATATGTGACTCACAGTTTTTCTCTCCTCCCCAACTCCTGTCCTACTAGGAGACCTCAATGTACCTAGTGACTCTCCCTCAAACACCCTAACCACTCAGTTCCTCAACTGACTGAGTTCCTGTGACCTACTCCTCCACTTCATATCAGTCACACACAAAGATGGTCATACCCTTGATCTTGCCATTAGCCATAAATGAATCAACTCTGTGTTTAGGAATTCTTTTTATGTGTGTATATATATATATATATATATATATATATATACACATATGTGAGTAATTTTTATTTATTTTTTTGTTTTCAACATTTACTTACACAAGATTTTGAGTTCCAAATTTTCACCCCATCTCACCCCTCCCCACCCCAAGATGGCATGCATTCTGAATACCCCTTATCCTAGTCTGCCTTCCCTGCTATCTCTCCTCCCCTTTCTCTTATCCCCTTCCCCTTCTGTTTTCCTGTAGGGCAGGTTGGATTTCTGTACCCCATTTCCTGTATTTCTTATTTCCCAGTTGCATGTGAAAACATTTTTTTTAAACATGTGTTTTTAAAACTTTGAGTTCAAAATTTTCTCCCTTCCTCCCTCCCCCCCCCATTGGTAAGGCAAGCAACTAAATATAGGTTATACATGTGCAGTTATGCAAAACACTTCCATAGTAGACATGCTGTGAAAAACTAACTCTATTTCCCTTAATCCTATCCCACCTCCCCATTTATTCTGTTCTTTCTTTTGACACTGACCCTCCTCAGAAGTACTTGCTTCTGATTACCTCCTTTCCCAATCTGCCCTCCTCTCTATCATCCCCCTACTCTCTTGTCCCCTTCCCCTCCTCTATTTTCCTATAGGGTAAGACAGATTTCCATACCCAATTGAGTGTGTATGTTATTCCCTCCTTAAGTCAAATTCTATGAGAATAAGATTCACTCATTCCCTCTCACCTTCCCCTGTTTCCCCTCCACTGTAAGGGCCTTTTCTTTTCTGGTTTTTTTTTTTTTTTTTGTGAGATGGTTTACCCCGTTCTACCTCTCCCTTTCTCCTTCTCCTAGTATAATCCTCTCTCACCCCTTAATTTTATTCTCCAGAAATGACCCCCTTCATTTTCAACTCACCCTGTGCCCTCTATCTATCTATCTATATCTATATATATGTACATATAATTTTTTCCCCTCCAACTACCCTAATACTGACAAAGGTCTCATGGGTTACAAATATTATCTTTCCATGCAGGAATGTAAACAGTTCAACCATAATAAGTCTCTTATGATTTTCTCTTTCCTGTTTACCTCTTCATGTTCCACTTGAGTCTTGTATTTGAAAATCAAATTTTCTATTCAGCTCCAGTCTTTTCATCAAAATGCTTGAAAGTCCCCTATTTCATTGAATGACCATTTTTTTACCCTGAAGGATTATACTCAGTTTTGCTGGGTAGGTGATTCTTGGTTGTAATCCTATCTCCTTTGCCCTCCAGAATATTATATTCCATGCCCTGCTTAATGTAGAAGTAGCTAAATCTTGTATTAATCCTGATTGTGTTTCCACAGTACTTGAATTGTTTCTTTCTGGCTGCTTGTAATATTTTCTCCTTGACCTGGGAACTCTGGAATTTGGCTGCAATATTCCTAGCAGTTTTCCTTTGGGGATCTCTTTCAGGTGGTGATCAGTGGATTCTTTCAATTTCTGTTTTGCCCTCTGGTTCTAAAGTATCAGGGCAGTTTTCCTGGATAATTTCTTGAAAATGATGTCTAGGCTCTTTTTTTGATCATGGCTTTCAGATAGTCCAATAATTTTTAAATTCTCTCTCCTAGATCTATTTTCCAGGTCAGTTGTTTTTCCAATGAGATATTTCACATTGTTTTCTAATTTTTCATTCTTTTGGATTTGTTTTACAGTGTCTTGATTTCTCATAAAGTCACTAGCTTCCAATTGCTCTATTCTAATTTTTAAGGAAGTATTTTCTTCAGTAAGCTTTTGGACTTCCTTTTCCATTTGGCCAGTTTTGCTTTTTAGGGCATTCTTCTCCTTATTGGCTTTTTGGACCTCTTTTGCCATTTGGGTTAGGCTATTTTTTAAGGTGTTATTTTCTTCAGTATTTTTTGGGTCTCCTTTAGCAAGCCGTTGATTTGTTTTTCATGATTTTCTTGCAAAACTCTCAGTTTTTCCTCTACTTCTCTTACTTGCTTCTCAAAATCCCTTTTGAGCTCTTCCAAGGCCTGAGACTGATTCATATTCTTCTTGGAGGCTTTGAATGTAGGAGCTTTGACTTCATTGTCTTCTTCTGGTTGTATGTTTTGATCTTCTTTGTCACCAAAGTAAGATAATATTGTCTGACTCTTTTTGCGCTGCTTACTCATGATCCAGACCAATTACTTGAGTTTTAAACTCTTTGTTAAAGTAAAAGTCTGCTTCCAATGTGGAGAATGTACTGTCCCAAGCTTTGGGGGTTTGTACAGCTGTTTTCAGAGGTACTTCTAGGGACCTGTAAATTTTCAGTTCTTCCAAGGTGCTATGATAAGGGGCAAGTTGTTTTCTCTTCACTGCCACAACAAGCTTCACAACACCAGTGCTCCTCCTCACTCCAGGACCGCCCCTC